AAGTGGGATACCTGACTAATCCTCCTTTGGTTTTGAGTAGGTTGTATGCCAAATAGCGCAAACCACAGGCAGCTAAAGCGTCGTGTGTATGATTTTGGGGTCTAAAGGTCATTCACGGAAATATCTAATATATTTAATAAGATGAAATTTTAAGTGTAAGCGTGTGCCCGTAAAAAAGGAAACTATTAACAAAAATGAAAAAAGGAAGAGGATAATGACGCAAGGAATATAACATTTTTAAGTCTCCTTACTTTTATTCCGTAGCCGCCTTGTCGCTTACGGCCGTTTTAAGACTATTTTGGCGATTTTCTTTGTACCGCGACTTGTGCTACTATATACAAAGTTAGAAGGCTGGTTACTTCAACCGGCTCCGAACACCAAATAACACCACAAATTTCGACTGATCGCCCTTAGATTGGCACCAGCGAGAGTGAATTGCATATACCTACTTTTCTGAGTAGTAAAATCATTTTTCCAAATTACGCTGCATCGACCCGAGAGACGATCCGTTCAACCACTCATTCTGACTAAATCGCTTTTGTAGAGACGCATGATGCGAATGACCTTACTACGGGATTCAAATATCAAAGTGCATCTGAGCATATAAATGACGCTTCAGAGGATCTATAGAAGGGTTCAGTTACGTTTGCCCTATTGCAAAACAACACCATCCAGATGCGTTTATCTGTCAACCGTTGTTTTGAAGTACTTGTGCAGCAACTGAAGGATCATATTTCTTGAGCCGCGTATTAAATTGATGTAAGTTTTCACCATACTTTTCTGACAAAATGTGAGTTTAATTGTTGATCCAACACTGAGGTTCAACCTCTAACTAAAGAAAGAGATTTATTGCAATATTTTGCGGTGCAGCCCTGAATGGAACTTCGGAAGAATTGAATGTTAGCGCTGTATTAGCAAGACATGTGACATCTACATTCTCACTCAGAGTATGTTTGTGAATTTTGCTATCATCAGATCCATTTGAACTACGTGTTTTTATCAGTTTTTACACTGTTTATCTCTCAAATAATTCTTTTTTGTTTCAGTACTTTTGTTTGTTTGCTTAACAAATAAACGAATTTTTTTCATTAACACATTTCCACGAGGTTTTGAAGGGGTTTTGCGTGCTAGTTTATTCTTCATGTAATTAAGATATCATATCTTTAACCAGCAAATATATGGTGGCCTTGTAATTGTTCCACTCTCCAGTGTACAAATATGGATATCTTAAAGATACATGGAAAACATTAAGAAACCTCTGTAGTTCCCTCAATTAACAGCTGGTTCATTATAAATTTCTTGTTTCTTGTTGAGGAACAGAATGAAGTCGTCTGTTCCAGCTAGAAAGTTTGCAGCAAGAACATTCGTAATTTCCTCCTTGAACTTAGTGTTTTGCTTTAAACACGTGAACCGGCCTTTTCCAGCGGACGAAAAGAGAAGGAGAGCAGGATGGTTTTACAGAGTTTGATAATCGTGTCTCAGAATGTAGACTTCGTTTAAACATAGAAAATGGGATCCTATAGGTACCAGTTGTTTCAAAGAAACTTGCTATTGGTAAATAGCAATACGTTACTTGCACTTGTCATGGATGTCAAGAGAGCGCGTCAGGTGCATGTACCCTGTAAAGTCCGAGTAACACTTCCAATGACCTCTTCCTTAATTCCTTAATGGCTTCCTTAATTGATTAAAATGAATAACGAAGGAACACTTTTTGTTTATTTTAAGCATCTACAAACCCTCCCTGGACGGCAGAACCTGAAAGCGGAAAAGGTACATGTTCGTGTATATATTATCAAATTAGACACAGTGTGATTACAAATTATGCTATGAGATGAGATAAGGATTACAAAGTGCTCGATGCATCGTGCCAGACCAGGTGGAGAAAACAATTTGTATGATGTCAGCCGTGAGTCTGTAAACTGATAGATCAAAGGAAACACCAATTAATTATAACGTGTATTTTTTTTTCTCTCTGTTTAATTCTAAAATATAGATATCTCTCAAATATCACTGTCCTGTGATAGCTGGTATAGTTATTTTTCGTTCCACAGTTTGATTTAATCCAATACCTCTAGTCTGTGATGTAGCGAAGGCGTCACCTTTTAATTGGCTATCGCTTTTTTATCAGGGTTCTGCCTCGTATTTTCAGGTGAATCATATGTTGTTCCTATCTAAGGAGGGTCTTCCGGCTTTGAAATTTAGTTCGTAGAGAGAAAGCAGATAGCATAGTAATAACGATTACTTCCAAATAATTCACATTTCATTTGAAGAAACCGAATGGATTATTGTTGGTGCAGTGTTGGGATCAGCTTTGGCTTTGGTTGTTGCTGCTGGCATCGTAGCTTGGTTTGTACATAAGAGAAGAAAGGGTTCAAAAGGGAGCAGTGACGGTGAGTGTTGTGCATTTAACGGAAATTTTGTAGACTTAGTTAAGATTAATGCCAACAAAATAGGGTGCCTTCCGGAAAGATCGTCCTACGTGCATTACTTTAAAAGAAATCATAGAAAAATGTCTATCACCATAAACCTATAATTATTATTATTATTATTAAATTTAAATTTATACCGCGCAGTTTCTATAAAAATATTCAGAAGGTGTCAGGTTTTTACGATTTTCCCATTGGTTCCTGAGAAAACCTATTTTGAAGTTGGACAATAAGAAATATTGGGATCTTTTCAGGCACCGGGACGTTACGAGAGGAATATTTCAAATTTCGTTAAAGCCTCAAATACCAAATCTACATACTCTACTTATTCGTTTAAGTTGAGGTAACTCGCATAAAGACCAACTTAGAGTTTTCAGTCTTGTAAAAAACTCACAGTTCTCGTACCTCATTTATGCGCGTGTCAATGCGGTCATGCCACCGACCAATGAGATGCAACATCGACCCCCCTGTCAAGTCTCGCGACAAAGAACTCCTTTAAAATTTGCGGGAAAGGTCATTTCGCGAAACTGAGAACGCGAATTACACGAAATCCAAAACTCGTCGGAAAAAGCAAACGGAAAAGTGGGCAAAGCAAGCAAGCGAAAAAGAAAAACTTAACTTGGATGTATTTTTGGCTATTCTCTTTTTGGCCGTTTAATGAAGACTCCTATTTCTCAAAGTTTTGCAAAATGTGGTGGAAATTCCTTTTTATTGTGCAGTGCAGAAATTCCCTTTGGGTGTGCAGTGCAAGATGCGATGTAAACAAAATGTTCTTATCGAGATCCCGGACGAGAGCCCGCGGCAGACGTCATCACTCTACTGTACAGGTTCCCGTAAAACATTCTTTCTCGTATCTCGTATCTCGCGTCAATTTGAGATTTAATAATTTTTTTCGACAAATCTAACTTGCTTTAACTAAAGAGCACAAAAGCTACATTTTGAAAATTTTGACCAGTTTTCTTGACAGTAACCTTAAATCAGCTCTGGGGTTTTGAGAGATACCTTTCCTTACCTTTTCAATCTCAGCAGAAATCGTTTTCCGCCATGCAAGGCCTTGTATGTTTAAAATAACCAACTTTTTTAACAGCTTACCTTTAAATACCGATAATATCTTTAGTTTTTACAACTAACTCTCTCAAGAGACTACTTGCCTTTGTCTTTTCTTGTTGTTTTGCCGTTTTTCTTCCTTTTTGCTTTTCTTGTTGTTTTTGTTTCTTTTGCTTGGCTTTTTTCCTTTTCCCCTCCATTTTACAATGATTTATTTTTCTTTTGGTTTGTCTTTTGTTTCTCATAATTCAGGGATAAAAACAAGACAAAGGTGAGGTTTTAAGGGAGCATAAGTGCCTCTCTTTTTATTCCTGACACTTTATGGCTTATTCTCTCAATCGATTTTGAATTGCAAAAAGGTATGATTGTACCGTTTGCTCTTCAAGTGCATTCTTCTGAAAGACATGGCTAGGGAACCACTTAATGCCAAGGAATACTTATCCAATTTCATAAGCAGTCCTTAAGAATATGATGGTCACACTTATCCTAAAACCATTTTCAACAGGCAGTAATCTAGATGAGTGCGGCAGATTTATTAGACCTGCGCAAACAAAGTATCCTCAACGTATGGCAGCTTAGTCATTGGCTGTCGGCAGCTTTTCTTTCTTAAGCAACTGTTAAAAGAATGCGAAAGCCCATAAGGTATTTAGAGGCAAAAATTTAGAGTAACACTGGGGATTTTCACTGACTAACGTGAATATACTGTCCACAACTGCCTTAGGTTTTTTTCCTACCTTCGCGAGTATCATTCGGGAAAAAATTCGTACGCGCGCTAGTTTGAAGAAAACCTTAACAAACTATACATCAAAACAAAGCTTAATAAATGTAGTTTACGATACAAATACAATTTAGGTGATTTTTTCATTTAGGAAGTGCCAGGAGCCGGTACAGCGTGAAACGACCGAGGATCCTTCTGTTGAATTTATCGGGTATCGGATCCCGCAGCACGAGAAAAATGGCTGCACAGTCTCATTCACAAGGTATGTTTAGTTTATTAGCTTCCTCGACAGGCAGGGACACCGCAACAGCTTGCGCCAATTACTGCGGGCCCAGTAAACCCACCCATCCCANGTGGCTGTGCCTTGAAAAGAGGCACCTAAACCTTAACACAAGAGTCTGCTCGCAGGCTCAACAGACGGCTGTCCATTGTGTAATATGACAGTGGCTGTGCCTTGAAAAGAGGCACCTAAACCTTAACACAAGAGTCTGCTCGCAGGCTCAACAGACGGCTGTCCATTGTGTAATATGACAGTGGCTGTGCCTTGAAAAGAGGCACCTAAACCTTAACACAAGAGTCTGCTCGCAGGCTCAACAGACGGCTGTCCATTGTGTAATATGACAGTGGCTGTGCCTTGAAAAGAGGCACCTAAACCTTAACACAAGAGTCTGCTCGCAGGCTCAACAGACGGCTGTCCATTGTGTAATATGACAGTGGCTGTGCCTTGAAAAGAGGCACCTAAACCTTAACACAAGAGTCTGCTCGCAGGCTCAACAGACGGCTGTCCATTGTGTAATATGACAGTGGCTGTGCCTTGAAAAGAGGCACCTAAACCTTAACACAAGAGTCTGCTCGCAGGCTCAACAGACGGCTGTCCATTGTGTAATATGACAGTGGCTGTGCCTTGAAAAGAGGCACCTAAACCTTAACACAAGAGTCTGCTCGCAGGCTCAACAGACGGCTGTCCATTGTGTAATATGACAGTGGCTGTGCCTTGAAAAGAGGCACCTAAACCTTAACACAAGAGTCTGCTCGCAGGCTCAACAGACGGCTGTCCATTGTGTAATATGACAGTGGCTGTGCCTTGAAAAGAGGCACCTAAACCTTAACACAAGAGTCTGCTCGCAGGCTCAACAGACGGCTGTCCATTGTGTAATATGACAGTGGCTGTGCCTTGAAAAGAGGCACCTAAACCTTAACACAAGAGTCTGCTCGCAGGCTCAACAGACGGCTGTCCATTGTGTAATATGACGGTGGCTGTGCCTTGAAAAGAGGCACCTAAACCTTAACACAACAGTCAGCTCGCAGGCTCAACAGACGGCTGCCCACTGTGTAATATGACAGTGGCTGTGCCTTGAAAAGAGGCACCTAAACCTTAACACAAGAGTCTGCTCGCAGGCTCAACAGACGGCTGTCCATTGTGTAATATGACAGTGGCTGTGCCTTGAAAAGAGGCACCTAAACCTTAACACAAGAGTCTGCTCGCAGGCTCAACAGACGGCTGCCCATTGTGTAATATGACAGTGGCTGTGCCTTGAAAAGAGGCATCTAAACCTTAACACAAGAGTCAGCTCGCAGGCTCAACAGAGGTCTTCCTGGTGGTGGTAGAACCGCTGGTTACAGGCTGTCTCTTGATCTCGTGCTTCAAGTGTAAATTTCTATGCACTAGTTTAGTATATGAAATGTAATTATTCTTCGAATTTCTGGTAGGCGATGCTTCTGAATCAGAGAAGAAGAATTTGCTATCTGAGCTTGAGTTGATGAAACAACTCAAACCTCATCCTTGTGTCGTCAAACTTCTGGGATGCGTCACCAAATCTGGTACATAGAAAAAAGTATACCTTTTTTACGCACTCTTAATTTCTAATACTAAGTTTCCAACGACAAATTTAAAATAAGACTAGATATAAGTGACCCTCGACGGAAAAATGCCTTTTAAGTGGACATGGCAAAGTGCAAGACCAAACAATAGGCAGTGAGTGAAATTATATGGCGGCTTCTGGGTGGCATGTCAGATAACACGACTTAGTAAAATTTTTTATGGACTGGTTCTGTCGTTTTCAAATTTTTCCTTTTCAATATAATGTTTAGAACTTTGCGACACAGACTGTATTCCATGATTTTCCAAAGACTGCTGAATATTTTGCGTTTATGTAACTATAGAAATGAAAAAGTAACTGTTCATACCATCCAACTCAGAGTTCACAATTTTATTACGCGAGGTACGTTTGGACGATAGGTAAATCCTATCGCCTTGAAAATTCACAAGAAAGGAAATCTGTCATAGCTCTTTATTGCAAACAATAAATCCCTAAGTTTAGTCCGTACCCAGTTTTTAACGAAGTCTGTAAGGTGCTTGTTTACTTTGCTTGCTTTAATT